GCGATAAATAAAGATGACAGTTCTCCAAGTTTAAGGTATGTGCGTTGTCCCAAAGTTGAGATATTCGTCGAAATGTTCCGCGCAAAATTATAGAGCTAGCCTGCCAGCAGGCTCACGTTGGAGCACAAGCGTGCGCGGCGTAGCCGCGAGCGCGAAATCGAGCGGCGAAGCCTTCTTGGCGCCTCTTCACCAGACTCCTTCCCGCCGGATCGCTTTGCTCTTCGCGGCTCGCGCGTGTGACTCAAAGGTGAGCCTGCTCGCAGGCTATTATAGAGCCTAGTATGGAACCGCCATGCTCGCTCCTTCAATATGGCGGCCTGAAAATAATGTAAACATCTGGAACTTACTTTTCCTAATACTTTAACTCCTAAAATGACTACAAATCACGAGATAAGTGTATATTTTTCGACAAACGCGGTCTTAGCTTTATGTTACGCACCGCCATAGCTCCGAAATTCAAAATGCACTGGTTTCCAAACGAAGGACACTTTTGAGCTGAAAAGTTGTAAACAGAAAAAAAAATTAATACCTCTTATGCCTGATGATGATAAAACCTTTAGGGGCTATTTAGTTTTGGATTTGAGAATTTGATGACGTCACATAAACACACTCTATACAGTCTTTTGTTTTAGATCGTTTTCACTGTCACGCAATAAAAAAATAAATCGAAAACCATTCGGTGGATAAAGTCAAGAAATTGTGATCTTAAAAGATAGAAAAGAGACTTCTCCAAGTTTTAAGTTTGTGCGTTTTCCCAGACTGCAGATATTTGTCGAAATGTTTCGCAATAATTTACAGAGCCCAGTATGGAAACGCCAGGATGGTGCACCTCTGTGGTGCACCAACATGGCGGCCGGAAAAGAGTGTAAAAATCTGGAGATTACTTTAGCTATTTAGGCGACTGATTATCTGTACTGAACAAACAAACATTTACTTAAGCACTTCTCCTAGTGATCTAACTTCTAAAAAAGCTGAAAATCATGAGACAGGTATATATTTTTCGACAAATGCGATTGTAGCTTTGTGTCACGCGCCGCCATAACTCTGAAGTTCAAAATAAGCTGGTTTTCAAACGAAGCACACTATTGAGCTGTAACATTGTAAACAGATATAAATTTACCCCCTCTTAATCCTGATGGGGATAAAAACTTTGGGGGCTCTTTAGTTTTCGATTTTAGAAAATGATGACGTCACATGACAACGATCTATAGAGTATTTAGTTCTTTCGCAATTGGCATCTGAAACGAGCAAAAAATTTCAAGTTGGTTTCATTCGGGGCGAGTGCGCGTTTCCATGTAACGGGGTCGAGTGTGTGTGGACGTTTCGTGAGAAATTACATCAAAAACTTATCCTTCACAGCGTTTTCCTCTGGTCAGTTAGCCCGTCGCAAACGCGGTTGCATTCTGCAGCGACGGAGGCAGCGATAGTCTTCTGCAGCTGGACGAACAGGCTGGACTTGTCCTTCGCGGGAAGTGAACGATTATGGTGAACAGGAAAAGGATTTATGGCCGTGGAATTCTGCGTTTCACTTCGCTGGAGCCCTGCAGGCTTCCAGGCCAGATAGTTGCTTCAAGTGGTGTTAATAAACGGGAGGAAGAAAGGGACAATTCGCGTGTTCAAAATGGCGTGCCAAAAACTCCAGGTACTGCAGTCTGCGGATGTAACTGTTCACTCAAGCGTTTAAAATATTAAGATGATTAAGAACATTCCAGCAATAATGGCAAAAATTAAGTTACCAAAGAAACCTCATGGCATGGNCCTGGCTAAAAGCCTGGTACTGAATCATCTGATTTCTGTTAGTTAAAAGCTTTTCGCACCAGTCTTGTACAAGTTTGCATATAAGGGAACTTTAGCAATGACAACAGTGATGCCGAAGACAACAACTTGTAAACAATGGATTTATATTTTACTTTTGAATGTCGCAACTATGTGGACCTGTTCTCTATGCCTATCACTCTAAAATCTTGCTCAAGCTAAATATGTAATGACAACATTCAATTCCAAAGGAAGATATGAAAAATTAAAAATTGTAGTTCATGTTCTCCAAAATACAAAGAACTTGCTCATTTCACGGTGTTATTTCGCAGATGATGGGTAACAAATGTACCAAGATTCAAAATGCATGTGCAGAACCATTGTTCTGCTCGTTAAACCTTTTTTTGGTGATGTTTTCATCGTTGTTGCTGTGGCGGTTTGCTAAAGCTCCCTCTGAAAAAGGAATTTCTCTCTCATTTAGAGAACGTACCTACCGTACCACCACACAATGGTGATAAACCAGTCAGATTGCTGGCAAAGTACAGCTATAAGGCCAATCCATCTAAGCCTGGTGGATTTGATGAGCTGACTGTAACACAAGGAGAGAAACTGGAGTTATGCAGAGCACATCCTTCAAATCCTCACTGGTGGGAAGCAAGGAATGAGAATGGAGATATTGGATTTGTCCCTGCTACTTACATGATGGTTAGAAGCTGCTGAGTAATATAATAATTATTGTGTCTTTTTTATGTTATCTAATGTTCATCCATCTGTCTGTCCTTTGCCCAGTTAATCAATCATTTGATTTACCCTTTTGCCCTATTTAAGTGTAGTTTGTATTTTAGATTTTGTTTGTGGTATTTATAAAGTTTTCTTGGAAAATTATGTAAAGAATATTGTTTGCTGTATTCTCAGATCTTAGTAAACTTTAACTTAAGGACTCCTGATATGTGTAATACAGTGTAAAATTATTAATAAAATTAAAAATAGATTGGTTGGCTTGTTGCGTTGAAAATTTATTTTCCTTGGAAGATAATTAAAATCATGTCTTACCTTCTTATGTTATTTTCTTGTGTTATTTTATTTTATCCCTGTTACATTGCCGGTTACCAAACTTTGCAAAGATCATGCACATTAAGTCCTCAGAATCTCATAATGAGCAATCCTTGAAATATAAAATCAATATTCAAGAATTTCTAAAACTTACATTATTTTCTAATCCAATATGGTAGGTTCTTGAAGAGAAAATATCTACCCTCCCATGGCTTGCAAACAAGAAGCAGGAAATAGAGGAGGCAAAGCCTGTTGAAACATTTCACGAGCCTGCATTCAAGCCTTATGTATCAGGTAAGGCTCTCATTACAGTACTTACAGCATACATGTATTTAAAATGGGAAAAGAGATAGATATCAGTTTTATACATTGAATATAATTATTGTGTTTGATGCTGACTCGTGTCAAATTTTTACGACAATATTTTAACTGCTGAAAACGACATTTCGACTGAAGATTGAACTTCTGGTTTTGTTGGTTTTAAAAAAAGATAACTAAATTACTGGCTACTGAATAGTTCACCAGTCATTCAGTTGTATTCTGGTTGGGAGGAAGATGGTAAACTGCAGTGCACTAGCATCCTGTCAAGAAAAATATTCTC